ACCGAGATCAAGTGAATATTTATTTATTCACCTGTTATCGTATTTGAGTTATAAAAATTTTCGTTGTCTGCCTCGTCGACCTACAACTAAGGCGTAGATAAAAAGCTTTAATCCATATGTAAGTTTTCCAACAAGATTAAAAATACAATTACCATTAACACTTCCACACTCGCCCGACATACCTTTGAGGTCGAAAAACACGAGTGACTAGCCAACTCGAAAGCTTTAGTCATCCTGAATTTTTGTCATCAAAACTTCAAAACTCGCCCGACCTACCTCTGAATTCGAGTAACACAAGAGACTAGCCAACTAGAAAGCCTTAGTCATGCTAGATTTTTGCCATTGAGGTTCGACTCGTCAGACTTACATCTGACGTATGAGAAACACGAGTGACTGTCCAACTCGAAAACCTTAGTCGTGCCGGATTATTAGCATGAGGTTTCAGCACTCCGTCTGACCTACCTTTAAGGTCGAAAACCACAAATAACTGGCCAACTCGAAAGCCTTACGTCATGTTTGATAAATCTAATTGATAACTTGTAAATGAATTTAAAGATTATAGTTGAAAGTTTATGACTTATGGCTGAAAAACTAACTTATATGACGAAAGTATTTGGTAAAATTAGTTAGTAAGCTAGATAAAATAAAAATTTCAACGAAATTATTTGAAAATCTAATTATAAAAGCTTATGAGATAAACTCATCGAGTATTTATAACCTACTAAAATAAGTAATAAAATGATTTATAATGCTCACCGAACACACTCGATCCATATTTTGGTCATCAAGGCTCCGGCGCTTATTTTATCCAATAGTCCACCCAATCTACTGTCGAAAATTCCAACTGAGCTGTGACCTGTTCTACTCAACTGCTCTACACTGCTCTATTCCTAATTCCCCCAAATTCCACTTGCCCAGTCTCCAAATCTACGATCGATGATATCTGCGCTTCTTCCGCTCCTGCTAATATGCGCAGCGGCTCACGGTGTGTTCATGTACGCCATGCCCAACCCCGACGCCGCATACCCTCCGCCCTACGGCCATGACGAATCCTGCACGACCTCCGCCGCGGCTAACGATCGGCTCCCGCCCCGCCGCGATATTCGCGGGACAGGTCGTATCTTGGACATCACTCACAGGGTGCATAAGGATTTGCCGTCGTGGGATTCCGAAGACGGCCTCGGCCGCTACGTGTGGCTCGCTAAGAGCATGAAGAACGGATCGCTGGCTAACAACTCGGAGATGAAGCTCGGGGCTCACACGGGCACGCACGTGGACGCGCCGGGGCACGTATATGACCACTACTTCGATTCCGGGTTCGATGTTGACACGCTTGACCTTGAAGTCCTCAATGGTATGAATCGGTTGGTCGATTTTTTTGCTGGCTCGTGATTCGCCTTTT